AATCATAATTAGCGAACGAGGACTCAAAAAAAAAGTAACGAGCACATATTACTATTCAAAACATAAATACCCAAGTATATGACTGGATCCTCGCTCTTGAGGATCTCTTTAACAATTATAAGGCCCGACTCGTAGACAACCTCCCCGTTCTTGTTGATCACCAGCCTGCCTCCCCGGCCCACTCACTAGACACGAGGGATCCGGGCCACGAAAGCAGTCAAGATGATGAAACTCTCATGGTCCTCGACTCCGAGCTCCCCTCCCTCCAGACGTAGGAACCCAATTCCTTATCAAAGTGATTCCTCGTCCACTGGAACAAGAACTTGTAAACCAGTTTTACCATAGGGTCTCCTAGCTCATTCAAACGGGGAGTATCATCCTCGTTATGCGCTGACACGGTCCTAAAAACATTCAGCATCGCCTTGCTCGAAGAAGACTGCACCAGTATATATTTATCCTTGAAGTGACGAACAAACTCCATATAAGCTTTAAACAACTTCCTATTGCCTTGCTTCAACGCAACCCATCCCCATTTGCCATCAATCTTGCTCCTCTGGAGGTGAAATCAGTAGAAGAACAAGAGAATGGTGGCCACTATCTTCAAGTAATCATAAATAATCTCGAACGCGATGCCGTTCTGATGAAGTTAGGGAAGAGCCAACCGCAGATGCCTGAATACGACCACCTGAAAATCTGAAGGGGAGTCGAAGACCCATTTCCCGAAACACGATGTCGTACATGGGAATCCTCATTCTATCATGTTTCAAGCAGATCCTGCTCTCTTTCTCGGGAATATACATCAACCACTCTTCATGGTTTCCTTCCTCGTGAGTGTACACATCAGTAAAAACATCATCCCAATGCTCGAAAAAATAAGAGGGTCAGTCTCAGGGATCGTTTGCGACCCAAGCCCGCAGATCCTATTTGTCCTCGGGGGAAACAAGCAACCTTGATCAGCGGAGGCCATCTCAACATCGCCTCCCCCCACTTGTTATTCCGGCTGATTCAGCTTATCCTCGAAAATCTACAAAATGCTTGACGAGTCACTCGCCTCGTCCAAAGAACTTCTTGAAGATCCAAAAGACTCACTCGAGAGATCAACCTGGGTGTTACCGGCCATAGTACCTAAAAAGCAGAAGATGAAGATGAGTTTGACATCAATGGCAGAATCACCCTTCCAATGCTAATCAAGTGAAAAGGCGTTGGGGAACAAGGATCATATCCTCGACCAGAACCCTCACTAAGGCGCATAAACAGACAAAAATTTGAGAAAGAGCCCTAGGCCCTAAAGGACCATCTACAATGCATCATGAAATTCCCGGGGAGGATCCACGACGACTCCGACGATTCTAAACTACAAAACCACTGCCTGCCACCAACACTCCCCAAGGGAGTCCTAACAGATAGGATGCTAAACCCTAGCCGCATGCATTTCTAAGAAGAAAATCACGAAAACATAAACTACTGAAAGCAAGCGACAACGAAAAACTGAAAACTTGTCGGTTTAAGAAGAAGGAAGGCTGGAAGTAGCAGCAGCGAGCAGCAAATCTCAAGAAACGACGGTGGTCGACAAGCGAGCGATTACAAACAGTTGGGAGAGAGAACGAAAAACACTAAACTTTCTACTCCTCTCGTATTTATAGTTGGGACCATCCGTATGTGTGAGACACGCGCCTGAGAAACCCTAGGATCATCATCATTACACCTAGCCCCTAGGCCATCATTGTGCCGCTTCGCCAGCACGCTACCCGAAATATGCCACCTCTTCAAGTTCAAAGCTCCTAACGACCAAATCCTCATCTCCCCGTGAGAAAAGCGAAATGGGCGACACTCATTCTCCCCGTAAGACGCGTTTCATTCCACGAGCAGGTGTTAAATTCATCACGCGTGTGCCCAGAAGAAACAACTTGGGGAGCTACTATTCTGGAATGGTTCGACAACTAGAATGGGCCCAGTCTAGCCTTTTCTTTCGGTACGGTCCATACGTCCATGGCCTGAATCGCCCCCGCTTCTCGTCGGGCAATATCGACCCTTTGCCCTCCCAGACCGGCACTGGCCTAAGATGATCAATGATCACTTCTCAGTCTTCCTGACCTCAAGTCGTGCAGACAACCAGGAACTGACCAGACCTCTGCTTGTAACTTACCTCCTCCTCGGAACCAACGACTAGTTACAGGCATATTTGGTTGGTGTGATCAAGTCCTGGCAGTTACCTATTTTTGCGGACCCGTATATATAGGCCCAAAAACAGAAAATAATGGCTATGCGCCAGGGGCATTATATAAACCATCACACTTATGAGGGCCAGGTATCGAATATTCATTATTCACCACCAATACCTTAACACTTTGCTTGTATCTCATTGTTCATACTCTTACTTGATCTTCGGAGTGCCTTCCAGGTACAACCCCCTTTTTTCCTCCCCGACATCACAACCCGACTACAGATCATCACCCGGCCACCTTGCAGGTTCTGATCAACCGGTAAGATCATTTACTTTTCAATTTCTTGATGCCTCAGTCATTTTTCCCAAATTCGTAGTGATCAAATGAAGTAGCCGTCCCTTTATATAGGCTGGGAAAAGAAGGACATTTGGATAGTATAAAAGGTCACTTTCATTTGCCAGCTGCTACAGCGGTAGCATTGAAACATGAGAGACACGCCCCTTTCATCGTACAACATAGTTTTCACCATACTGGAGTAGGTCTTATATTGTTGTATTGTATTCTTCTTGTGCAAGTTTCTAATCTTTTCTTCTTATGAAATACTTCTGATCTTACGTAATAAGAGAATGCATAGAAGATCATGTCTTTGTTCTTAATCTTCTGATGGAGTGTTTCTAATATGATATGATTAATATTCCAGAAGATATTTCATTGTAATATTCCCAAAAAGTATTAGAGTCTTCAGAATCAGAACCTTGTCTTAAGACTTGAAGCAACATCTTATCTGACCAACAATTCTTGATATCTGAGCTGGAAGCAAAAACTTATCTAATAAGCACATTATCTTGATTTATGATCTTTGAAGCAAAAGCTTGATACGTGATCTTCACATGGAGATCCTTTTCTTAGACACACTCTGACTTCTGAAGCAGCAACTTATCTGATGAAGTACACGTGGATCCTTCTTTGGCAAACATTCAACATTCATCAGAACTACTGATTTTTCTTCAAAAACGGATGGAATAGTCTTTCTGAGGCGTGCCAAACATAATTCTGATGATTCTTAAGACAACAATCCCGAATCAATTAGAATGTTTATCCGCACACTTAAGAAACTATTAGAGTCCAAAATTATTATATAAAATATATGTATTGTTATCATTAAAACTTAGAGATTATGCGCATAACCAAATCTTATTCTAACAGGATCTGCCTATAACCTCCAGTGTTCATGTTTCTACACCTACTTCATCGTCCTCCCACAGCAGGCGAGATTCTCTAGTTCATACTTCTCCGCCTGCATCCTCCCGTAGACGTACTTCTTTACCAATGGTATTTGAGGCAGGAGAGACATTCGGTTCCCAGCTGACACCGGAGGTCACACAACCGACACCTGAGGCCTAACCAATTAAGATAAAACCCGAGGTGCGACCAATTAAGATATAACCTAAGGCCCAGGCAGCTGGGGCGACACCTGCGACTTCTCATGGTTTTGGAGGAGAACTTGTTGATTTATCATTGCTACCTCTGTACCTGAACCATGTTGTTAGACAAATCCGAGATGAAAAGGTATGAGTTTTAGACCATGATAGGTGATACAAATAGGAGGCGTTGAATTTGTTGGTAGAGAGTTTGAGATGTACCCCTGAGAGTGATATGTATGAGATAGACTCCACTTGTGGTACTCACGTTAGATTTAGTTATTTGAAGAAGGTGTTCACGACTGAGCTACAATGTGCACGACAGGTTGATGGTGATCTTGAGCAGGTAGCCCATCCCTAAAGGTGTGCTATGAGGGCGTACCTTTTGTATCTGGTTGGCACGACCATTTTTGTTAACACTAGTGCCACTTATAGTGATGTCATGTACCTGCGGTACTTTGACGATTTTGATCAGATCCATGAGTGGAACTGGGGGACTTCTTGTTTGGTGTACTTGTATCAAAAACTTCCTGAAGGCTATAAGTGGAAGACGAAGCAGATGACCGACAACTTCACACTTTTGATGGTAACATTTATTGGTCTTATATTGTTTGTGTGTCGTTTTGTTAATTATTGTAATTTCATTACTAACTAATAAATATTGCAATTTTAGGCCTGGATCCTATAACACTTTCTCCGCATCTTGGGTTGATCACTTGCCTCGAGTTATACTGAAGAAAGGTCGCATGTCGCTGCATTCGACCCGCTTTGAGGAAACCAAACGATAGAGCCGTTCCAGGTGTATATTGATTGGTTGGTGTTTGAGGATATACACTTCCATACCTTTGTCGACCACCATTTCATGATTCCATTTGATGATGTTACATTGTATTTTAAATGGTTGGCTTGCGGGTCGATCAAGGATGTTACTCATATGCCTGCATAATTTTTCTACTACTATCTGCATAGGAATCAAAAGTGCATTTACGATTCCATCACGTAATTGCATTTCCGATTTTAACTAGTATTCAACAAAAAAAGATATATCTCGAAAATACATTTCTGATTATGCAAGGCATTTTCAAAATTACATAGGATGTTTTTCAACCCTATAGGGTGGGATAAGAAATCCCCCAAAAGAAATACATTGAAGAAAACTCCAAACACAAAGCGGGCTAAGGCCCACTTTTATACCGAGGAAGTCTGGCCCATTCCAAATACATGAATTCTCATTCCTGCTATATACCGCTTCTTCCTTTAGCCGCTCAAAAAACAAGCTAGGGTTTCGTTTCTGGTATTTTATATTCCAAATTCATTTTGCTACTCCGATTTCATCCTATTCAGCTAACATTCTCCCTTCGTTTTTACGCAGCTGTGAGATCCGTAGCTTGTTAGCCTTTGAATCTATATCAAAATGAGGTATTTATACTGCCTTCTAATTTGTACTCTGTAATGCAATTTCTGACTCTAGATTCAAGGATAATCATTGTTAGCGTTTCTGATTTGTTTATCGTTGATGGTTGTGTAGTAAGCTTCAAAGTGAAGCAGTTAGAGAAGCCATCACAGGAATCATGGGTGATTCCAAGGACAAAGGAAGGAAGTTTGTGGAGACTATTGAGCTTCAAATTGGCCTCAAGAATTACGATCCACAAAAGGATAAACGTTTCAGCGGCTCCGTCAAGTTGCCTCACATCCCCCGCCCCAAGATGAAGATTTGTATGCTTGGAGATGCCCAACACGTTGAAGAGGTATACTTCTTCCATATATGTTTTTTAGGTATAATTTCTGATTGTTACCAATTCGTCAACTTTATTGAAACGATACCATGCTTTCGTGATAGTGATATATAGCAGCGTTTTTTCCGTAAATTATCATTCCGGTTTTTTCCTAGTCATTTGTGTTGAAGTTGTTACTCCATTTTGCAGGCAGAGAAAATTGGTTTGGAGTCTATGGACGTTGAAGCTTTGAAGAAGCTCAACAAAAATAAGAAGTTGGTGAAGAAACTTGCCAAGAAGTACCATGCTTTCTTAGCTTCTGAGGCTGTTATTAAGCAGATTCCCCGTCTCTTGGGTCCTGGTCTCAACAAGGCAGGCATGTTTTTTTCTTTCTTAAGTACTAGTGTCCTAAACATTAAGAGGATTTTGCATGGTTCTTCCTGCTATTTTCTTTCAGAGAATTGCTTTGTTTGGATAAAATGTTTAACGCGACATAGCTTTAGCTTTAGATGTCACAATTTTCAAGCATGGCTTAAGTTATTGAGTTTAATATTTATATTACCTTTTCAGGGAAGTTTCCAACACTTGTCTCCCATCAAGAATCTCTTGAGGCAAAGGTTAATGAAACCAAGGCTATGGTCAAGTTTCAGCTTAAGAAGGTGCTCTGTATGGGAGTAGCCGTGGGCAATGTAAGCATGGATGAGAAGCAAATCTTTCAAAATGTTCAACTAAGTGTTAACTTCCTTGTCTCTTTGTTGAAGAAGAATTGGCAGAATGTGAGTATTTCATTTCTCATTGAGTAAAATCTTTGCTCTGTTTGCTTCTATTCATCTTATACATCTTGCTCTACTGATTTCAGGTTCGATGCTTGTATCTCAAGAGTTCAATGGGGAAGTCTTACCGTGTCTTTTAGGGAGTTTATTTTCTTGTCATTATTCAATATTCAGCGGCTTGTTGTTATCCTCTCATTAGTTATCCCAATAGTTGCATAGAATATTCCATCTTCTTGCAGTTTTGCTGGATTATTTATGGTTAATTTTTATTTTAATGTTCAAATATTTGACAATTTTAAGAGTGCTGATTTTGGTGCCTACTCATTTTTAATTGAACTGAATTTATTAATCTGAAGATGTAAACAAGTCTTGTGGTTCAACATGAAAACCTGTGTTTTATAAATCTTAAGATGTAAACAAGCCTTGTGGTTCAATATGAAAACCTGTGTTTAGCAGCAGTGTACATGATAACCTTGTATTTAGAAAGATTATTTGTTCATCACCAATTAACCAGCAATGCTATAATTAATTTTATGTTAAATTTACACATTTATAATAAGATTCATAATTAAATTTATACTAGGTTGACCCCTTTTGTCTTTGCAGGGGTCTAATTGAGTCTCCTTCCATTTTGATATGAAGTTAATAAGTTACAGCTAACATATTTTATTCTTCAAGTATTTTTGTTTCTAAATCTCTGAACCATAATATTTCTTGGATTTCAATGGGAGAAATGTTCTAAAATATTTTGAAAGAGAGTTGTAAGATTAAAATCATTAGTAAATAAAAGAGCTATGATGTTATTTATACATTTGTTAATTCCAAGAGTAGTTGAAGAAATATTTGATTCAATATTGCCCCAAATTGATTCAATAATTGGAAAAAAAAAATGGTTTTAAATTTGTGTTGAATCAAATTTGATCCTGATTGACTTACATAAATCGATTCACAAAAAAACCACAATCACTACATCCATAACAGTGGTGAAAGAGAGAAAAATTATGAAGTCTGGGCAAATTTTCACTAGTTCCCTCTGATATCTTCTTTAATATGTGTGGGCAAGTTTTCAGGCAAGTTTTCATCAACTCTTCCATTGACTTCATAATTTTCTACCACTAATTATCCTAATCTTGAAAGTTTTACTTCCCTCTTAATATCGTTGTTAATATGTGTGCTTCTCAATATCTGTTTTTTAATATAAAAATAAAGTTAGAAGTTGTTGATAATAAAAAGAAGAATGTATATAAATTTCATTTTGGTTGTTTTCTCAAACTAACAGAAAGACCAATTAACCCTTCCAAACCTCCCTCATATTTCTCAAACTAACAGAAGGGCCAATTAACCCTTCCAAACCTCCCTGCATTATCAGGGAGAGAAATAAAACAATCAGAACCAAAATTGAAGTATAGATTAAAAGCTAATAAAAATATCTATTTTATTTTCAACTTAAATTAAATCAAATTTACAAGTATTCAATTGAGTTTTGAATTACTTTCATATTAAGGCTCGTCTATTAGTATTCGCGAACATTCAAGGATATTACTCCTTTTCTTTTATAATGACTAGTGAAGATGGATATTAAAAACTCCACTTGATACTTCCCAACAAAGTGAACGGGCTGAGAAGATGACTACAGTATTTTATTCCAAGTATAAATATAAAATTTTATAGCACACAAAAGATCAATTTCTTGTAAATTCAACACACAATGAAGCATAAATACTGAATACTGAACACTACTAATTTATACAATACAAAAATAATTGATTGTTGTACAAATGATGCACAACTAAGAGATATTAATAACATGTATGGAGAAGCGATATAAGTGATATTAATAATTGATTTTACTCGATCAGACTTGGACCGTCACGGCTGGCTCCGAGCTGAAGTTTGAACGAGATGGGGGGTACCTGCAAGGCACTCCGATGCTGAAGTAAGTGAGAGCACGAGCAGGCAAAAGTATGAGTATGGGTAAAAGAATGAATACCTGACCCTCTGGGAATAGAGGGTATTTATAGCCCCCAGCGCTGGGCCAAGGTCCCTTCATTGGGTCGGACAAGTTTGGCTCAATGGAGGAACTGCCAGGTTCTACGTGTGTAGTGGGGACCCGCACATGGTCTCCTTCCTGGATGTTCTGCGTGAAGTACGGACGGACGAGGACGCGGTCTTTTCGGGATCCAGGTGATGGTGTAGTGGACAGAGTCTGCCCTAGGAGGAGTGCTCGAGCTGAGGTCGAGCAGGATGGCATGAAGTCGAGGATGTCGCACTTAGCGGAGAGTGTCGGGCACGACTGTGGCCTCTTGGTCGGCGTGACCCCTTGATAGGCCGTTTAGGTTGGGCCTTCACCATTGCTTTTGGGCCAGCCCGGCCCAGTCCAGAACAGGAGCCCCCCAAGTCGTGGTTCCTAGAGCAGGAGCCATGACTTGATCTTAGATCGCCTCCGTTGCGGGGTCCCGTATCCGGGCAAGGGATGTAGTTCCTCGTGGTAACTCGAGGAGTTTCCCCCCGTATTGCGCCCGCGAGATAATTCCCTTCGAGGAGTGCCCGAGGGATTCTCGACGGGCTACGTTTATTGAGCACACGAAGCATCTCTTGGGAGCTGTGCCGCCACCCTATTGAAGATAGGGTCATCATTGCCTAGGGGAGCTGTACGTCGAGGAGGGAAGCTTGTGGTTCCCCGAGGTGACGTTTGGTATTCCACGTCATCACTATAAATAGGGTCCTTGGGCCCCAGAACATGTTTTCCCTCTTCGCGCTTCTTCTCCTTCCTCTGTCTCTGATGTTACTGTTCTTCCCAGATATTCATAGGACCGCCGTGTTCTCCGTCGCTGATCCCCTTTTCCGCCGTCGGAACTCCTTCCAGATTTCAAGTAAGCGTCTTGTCCCCCTTGCTTTTCCTCTGTGATGCATGCTATTTTTCATCGTTTTGGATGTTAGAGACTGTACGTCTGGGATTAGCCCCGGTAGATTTATATTTGGCTCGACAAATTCGTGTTTATGCTTGGCAAACGCATGTTTGTGCCCGGTAAACGCATAGTTTAGGTATTTAACTCGCAGTGTCGCCCGGGGTCTTCATGATTCAGGGCGCCTAATTCGTGGTAGTGCCCGGTAAACTCATAGCTCTAGTTCTAGGATTTATGATGTTGCTCGCCATGTTCTCACCCTAGGTCGACATATTCATGAGTGGCCGAGATGTTGGTCTATTTCAGCGACCTGTAAGAGGACTTGTCGTGGTATCTGGGAGTCGGGGAGGTGACTATGCTCTTTTTGTTCGAAACACCAACTTTTGTAGTCGTGCGTGGAGTGACGCGGTTTGTCGTGCCCTTCTTCCCGGCCGTTATGGCGAGCGTGTGGACTTGCTCCCCAATTGACCGGTTTCCTGTGCTTTGCAGGTAACAATGGCGGACGAACCGTGTTCCTCGGGGCGCATTGAGGTGGAGGACCAAAGTGCCGAGGAGAACGTGAATTTGGTTGACACTATCGATGATCCTCTGCTGGAATGGGTGGGCGCCGAGCCCAGAGGGATCGCTTCGGCCTATAGTCGACGCAGTCGAAGTGCATATACCATCCTCGAGAAGGGCAGTAGCCAGCCCGGTTTCCAGAAGAACTTCGTTGTCACCCGACCAACTCTCACCACACGGATCTGCTCGGAGTTCCCCGAGTATGGATTCCCCATGTATGAGATTTCCTTCAAGGACCTTGGATTACAGCTGCCCTTCAGCGATTTTCAGGTCGGGGTCTTCAGTCATCTGGAACTTGCCCCGTCGCAGCTTCATCCCAATTCGATCGCTTTCCTCCGGGCGTTCGAACTGACGTGTCGCTTCTTAAAGATTGGGGCGACCATACCTCTCCTTCTTCCGCGTCTTCCATTTGCAGCGCCAGTCCCGAGGGGGCAGGCACAGTTGGGTTTCCCTGAAGCAGTCGAAGAGACTGTTCAGGATGTACATGGATTCTGACCGGGGCTTCAAGGACAAGTGGTACATCGTACGACCGGTTTCAAAAGCGGGTTTAGAGTCTGTGTACGAGGAGGAAACGATCGTGACCAATGACCACGGGGAGGCTCTTCTGGACGACAAGGGACGCCCTATGTTAGGGCGTGTGGCCAAATTCCCTTTGCATTGGACCTCACGTCACTACGAGCACGGTACCGGGCACTACCATACGCCCGCGGGTGGGATGAGCACCGAAGACGAGGAGGCTTATGGCACCCTTTGCCGATATGTCGGTAGTTTCTTCCCCGCCCGGTGGGCCACGAGGGAGGGGAAGGATATTCTTGACGAAGATGGCTATCCGACCTTCGAGGCCCGGCCTATCGATAGGAAAGCGCTCGTGGAATGCCAGTCTTTCGGGCAGGCCAAGAACCTGCTAGGTCTTTTGCTTTTTTGTTGTTTTTGTTTTGTTTGATTTTCTTCGCTTGTTTATTTGCTCGTCACTAACCCGGGATTCTTTTACGCAGGTCTAATGGTCGGACGAAAGGAGAGGCTCCTGAAGCTGACACATGATAAGAAGGTCAACAAGAGAGTAGTGCGAGCTCCTCAGGCGACAAGGATGGGCCCGCCAACTAGCCCGGGCGCTTCTCAGATGACGAGGGTGGGCCCGCCAACTAGCCCAGGGGCTTCTCAGGCGACGAGGATGGGCCCTCCAACTAGCCCGGGCGCTGCTTCGGGAGGGTCCCCGGACGCTCAGGATGTCGAGCCACATCCCGACCTGATACCGAGGAAGAGGAATCGGGTGGAAAGCCAACCGGAGATCGGCGAGGACTCTAGTGCGGTGAGGTCCTTCGAGTTGCCCCCTTGTTTTAAAGAGGAGGGTTTCTTCGAGGGATATCCCTTGTTCGTGAGTGTTGATGAAGCTGATACCATTAGGTGGATGAGCAAGGAGAGTCGGAGAAGGCATCTGGCAGCCAATATGGTCGGGCTGGTCAAGATGGCCGAGATGGCCGTTGTGCTGGCCGAGGAGGGGGCAGACTCTGACCGTATCAATGAGCTGGAACAGGAGAAAGTTGCCCTTACCTCGAGTTCGCGAAAGTTGAAGGCTGCCCTGGAGCGCTCCGAGGAGATGTTCCGCGAGCAAGTCGAGCTGCTGACGGCGGAGAAAGAGTTGCTTGTTATAGAGAAAGAGAACTCGGAGAAGATTG